TGCCGAGGAGCTCAGAAGGTGGGCGACTGTGACCAGTGATAGTCATGTATATAGAGATTAGAAATGCATGTGAAAACATCTCAATGTCAATAGCCTTGGAATGAATTTTTTCTGTATGAAACTGTGTGTTTTTAATGTTGTTATTCTTTCATTTTCCTAAGTGCCTATAACTTGTGGACTTTACCACCAGTCAAGAATAGGGGTGACAGGGCTAGAGGGATGGCTCATCAGTTAGTGTAACAGAACTGACTGCTCTTGCAGGGGACCCAGCACCCACATGGCAGCTACCAACCATCCTTAAGTCTAGTTCTAAGGGATTCAGCACCCTGGCCTTCATGGGCATTGCATGACATCGGTTCTCTTTCATACATGCAGGCAAAACACTCGTACACATAAAATAAAAATAAATAAATCAAAGAAACTAAGACTAGGAATGACAAATACCTTATATGTGCATTATGACTTCTGAGTTATCCCCTTGACAGGTGTCACTAATCTTGGCACTCTAGTTCAGGCAGCCAGTACAACAGATAATCACTGGTATATGAGATAAAATTTGGTTGAAATCTCTAAGACATCTTTTGACAATCCTCTGGGTGAAGCATTTAGGCAGTCCATGTGAATTTTTACTTGGAGTAGGAAAAGAGAGTATTGAAGAAAAAAAAAAGCAGAACGTATCCTAAGTCAAATCTTGCTCTCTGTGAATAAACTGGAAGATTATTTCGGAAAGCACATCAGGAGACACAAGCAGAAAGGGCGTGCCTTTGCTAACTACCAGACAGGTGGACACACTGAGTTTATCACAGTCAATGCTCTGTGGCCTTAAGTGAATAGCACACTTAATAAACATCTTAATTTAGTAGCCCTCACTAAAAATATGTGCACGAAGACAGAACTAAGAAAAGGTGTACTGCAGGAGATGCTACTGACAGAGTAGTGACAACTGGAACTGCAAGCATAGAATCCAAAGAGGAAAAACTCAGATTTCTAGAGGTTCAACCTGCAGTTCCAAATTATCTATCATGTAGCAAGCATCACAGGAAAGTGACCAAAATATTTTATATTAAATAAAAAACAAAATCTAGTAAGCAAAAACTCTCCAGAGTTATTGAACATTGAACTCAATAATTTTTCAAGGCTCACATTTCGTAGCCAGACCTGTACTCTAAAGAAAACCAAGTCAAACAAGCAATTCTATTCTCTATGTTTGGACATTGACTCAGCATATGAAAGAAGCTTATTATTTCAACGTAGGAGCAACCTAAGAGTTTATTTTGAAACTCAGTTCAGTCAAATATTTTTCTCAGATATTTTGATCAGATATTTCTGGAATGTCCTTCAAGACGACTCATTGAGAACTAAAACAGGATTCAGAAAAGAATATCATATCTAACTCATTCATTTTCTAGTGAAGAAAAGCAGAGTGGAATAACTTTAAGAAAATATGTAAAATCACCTAGTTAGATAGCCAGAAACATTAAACGCTGATCTCTCAGTCTTCACGTTGGCACTGTTTACACAGTTCTAACCATTTCCAAATGATGTATTTGAAGCTCAGCTCTTCTAGAAACAAATATTTGTATTTTAACTATTCAGTTTGTATAAAATGTGTTCTAGGAATTATCACTGCACAATAATTCCTCAGCATAACGAAGTGAGAAACTCAATGTAACACATTATCTAATATTATGGTAGTGACACAAAAATTGCCTAGAAAGCACTTTGATGGTAATTAAACTGTCATTATCTCTTTGGGATTGAGAGATGAGTGATTTTTAACAGCATGTTAAAGTACAATATTAATTTAGAACATGGGTTTTCAGTGTGTAAGAAAATATGACCCAATAAGATATTTAGATTCTGTCTTTAATAACATTACTACAATATTTCTAGCAAAATTTTAATTATTAGATATTATTTTAGCTAACCTTTATCAAGTACCTTGAATATGTCATAAAGGACTTTTTTTAATCAAATACATCTGAGACATTTGCTTGCAAATGTAAAAATGAACCCTAATACTTGGCTAATTTAAAATACAAATTTTAGCCAGGCGTGGTGTACTGGCCTTTAATTCCATCACTCAAGAGGCAGAGGCAAGTGGATCTCTGTGAGATCAAGGCCAGCCTGGTTTCCATAGCAAGTTCCAGGCCAGCTGGAGCTACAGAGAGACCCTGTCACACACAGGCCAGCTGAGGCGGCAGGGAGAAAAAAAAAAAAAAAAAAAAAAAAAAAAAAAAAAAAAAACTATAAAATGGGGATAGCCAGTCTCCTTCAAGGATGAGACTCTTTGTAGCTTGGTAGGTTGACCAGGCTCCAGTGGATGGGCACGAGCTGAAAGGCACTTGGGAACATAAATTAGACTCTATAGGCCTAGGCCTGTGCATTAAATTGGGCAGGGTGCAGTAAGGGGAAGTAAGGATATAGAAGGAGATTTAAATACCACCAAATTATAGTATATGAAAATCACAAGATGATACATATGCCAAGTAAAAAGTATTGAATTGCCTTACCATGCATCTTATAAGCAACAGTGTGTAAAAACGTAAAACAAACATGAATTTTTAAAAGACAAGTTAAGAATTTGTAAGCAAAGTTTCATGAGTAATCACTTAGCAGAAGAATGAGTTAATGTCCTCACACTATTGATATGACCTTCTAGAGTCAAAATAACAGTAACTCTAAATACGGTTAAAATCACAGTAGATTGTGGTTGGTTAAAATGGGCTACTACTTTTTTGGAGACAATTTTCACTTCAGGATGAGTATCACTAAACTTTTTACTAATACTTTGCAATTGACAAGTACATTTTCTTTTAGGATACATAAAATCAAAAATTACTTTTATGAGCCAGCAAGATGGCTCAGCCAGTAGGGCACTCACTGCCAAGCCTGCTGACATGAGTACGATCCTCAGAATCCATGTCATGTGAGGCAAGAACTGATACCTATAAGTTGTTCATTGACCTTCACATGCACACACATATATGCATGCGTGTATATACATCAAATACCCACACAGTGAATGTAAAAAGAATGTTTTTTAAATGGTTTTAGCTTATTTAGAATATGAAAAGCAGGACAAGGAAGAATAATTAGTTTCTTGGCACAAGTCTGAAACATAATCAATTCTCACACAATATCTCATTTCAAATTACAGTATTGTTCAAGCTCATCATAACTGGCTATTCAGTATTTCTGATGGTCTGAAGGATGTTCCGAGAGTGTTCAGAACTTGACCCCTTCACTGGTTAAGTGTGTGTTGGGGTGTCCTGTAAACCCTAGGATCACCACAGATGGTGGTGTTCTGGGGCTCATTGGTGTCACTCTTCTGCAAAGATGTAGAATTAACTATCAGGCTTTGTAGCATTTATCATTTTCCTTTTTTCTTGTTTATCTGTTTTTCTTTTTTTAATACTTTATTATTTTTATTTTATGTGTACGAGTGTATTGCCTGCATGTATGTGAGTGCACCCATGTTATGCAATGCTGTGGAGGTCAGAAGAGGGCTTCAGATTCTGCTGGAACTGGAGTTAAGAATGGTTTGTAGCTGCCATGTGGGTGGTGGGAATCGAACCCAGATCCTCTGCAAGAGCAGTCAATGCTCTTAACTGTTGAGACATCCCTCCAGCCCCTATCTGTTTTTCTTTCTAATGTCCAATTCAAACAAATTAAAGTAATCATGTAAACTTATCAGAATAGCAGAGTATTTTTCTGCTTATATTTCTTGAAAACATAGGAACCAAAGGATTTTCTAAGAACCAAAAATATTGAATATACTCTTTCTGTATAAAGGGACAGAGGAATATTTTCATACCAAAAGATACTTTTATTTTATTCTGGGTGAGATTCCATTCTCAATCAGTAAAAGAGAATTAAACTACGATATTATTTAACATAAGCAACTTTAGAGTTAAGCATTAGAAGGTTTGTCAGACCAATCTACATAAAGGCTCATAGTTGTATTCAAATGTTTTAATTGGCTAACCAATACAAATTTGCCAGTTAATAGAAGCAGAGTAATGGAAATTATTATAAAGTGAGATTTTAGTTCCTCTAGGTAGATTTTTAATATTTGATAAAATGTTTTGGTGTGATTGGAATTTAAGATAAAATTTGACAAATTTTGTCTTCCTGGCTGATAGTTTTTTTAATATTTTTATTCTTCGAGAATTTTATGATATATTTTGATCATATTCACCACCCCCACTTCATCTCCCTAACTCTTCCCAGATCCACCCCCACCTCCACACCTCCACACCCCCAACTTCATGTTTTTTTTAATAACCCCAAGTTCCAATTTGTGCTATCCATATACACCTGAGTATGGGTCCAGCTGTCCACTGGAGCGTGGTTGACTTACCAGGGGTCGCATCCTTAAAGAAAACTGACTCTCCCTGTCCCAGAAGTCATCATCTGTCCATAGCTCTTCAGCTAGAAGTGAAGGCTCATGAACCCCTCCAACCTCCATGTTGGACTATCAGCTGTCTTGATCTTGTGCAGATCTTGTGCAGGCAATCACAGCTGCCATGAGTTCATGAGTGCAGAGGTCCTGTCCTATCCAGAAGACACTAATTCTCTTTGGTCTTCCACTCTGGCTGACAGTTTGAGGTTTTCATATAAACCTTTTCAAAATAAAGTTTCCATTTTTCTTCAAACCAAAGTTTGTTTGTGATGATGAACTGAGCAACAAATATAGCCAAACCCCAAACCATGTTCACCTGGTATAGACTTTGCTGTGAGTGATAGACAGTGTATTGTCTACTTTCAGCTTTCCATGTCACCCTCGATGTTCACAAATTCTCTTGCAATTTAGATACTTCCAGTTCCTCAGTAAACAGCCACAATAATAAGAACTTTGTGTCTGTCCCTGTGCCTGGTTAAATTTTAGTGTACTGTCCTGAGTAAAAAAAATGTTTAAAGCACACTTTTAAAAGGTTATAATTTGATTCATTAGATCATTTCTTTTTTAAATATTTTATTATTTTCATTTTATGTGTATGAGTGTATTACCTTCATGTATGTGAGTGCACCTGTGTCGTGCAATGCCATGGAGGTAAAAAAAGAGTTTCAGATTCCCCTGGAACTGGAGTTAAGGATGGTTTGTAGCCACCATGTGGGTGCTGGGAATCAAACCCGGGTCCTTTGCAAGAGCAGTCAGTGCTCTTAACCGCTGAGCCATCTCTCCAGCCCCTAGATCATTTCTTTTAAACTAACTCTGAACTCATCTTATTTGATACTTATGAATCTTTACCTGATTGAAGTCCCAGGTAGTTTAGGAAAAATTTTAAATCAAATTCTGTGTGTCTTATGAAAATCGAGTGTCTGTGTTCACAAAGGAAGGATCTATCGAGTTCTGTTTACATGCTTTATTTTAAATAATACCTGGCAACAATAATGAAATTGCAAATGAGTTTCTACTGTACAAGTACTGAATGATGGCTTTAAACATCTTCTTTAAAAAATCAAACCATTCCTTCATGTAGGAAATTTCTACTTATCTCAACCATAGGTAGAAAAGAATCTAAAACTGATGCTGTAGAATCACTTGTTTTTTTCAAATCATTATTCCTAAGAATAATGCTACTGGTTTTGTTTCTCACCAGTAAAGCAAATGTTTAGATTGTGTAGAGCTTGAGTTACCTCACAGAATACAACACGGCTTGTTGAAAGAGAACTCAAATGGAAAAAAGTATATAAATTGAATTGCATGGTTTCACTTTGGGAAGATATTTTCATGATCAGAATAAATGGTTCTTTTAATCTCAACATTTAGAATATTCTTTCTAGAGTATATAAATCAGTGAGTAAATAAATGAAAGTTTCCATGGTAATTATTTTCATAGCACTATTATTCTTTCTTCACAGGCCTCCATATATCAGTCCACAGACAGAAGCCTGGAAAGACCCAGTAGGTAAGAATCTCATTGCACTACACTAATCAGGTAGTCTGTGCCCATGGATGTTTTCTTGGTAGTAATATTCCTATTGAAATAGTAAAGGATAGAGTGTATCTATTATTCTTATTTTAACTACTATACCTTATTAAGTTGCTCCATATTTTTATATATTACTTTATATGTTCACATTCAGGAATTTGTAAACGTTAGGTAATGTGACTCTGGACTCCTTCCCAGAGACTGATCCTTCCCTTTGTTGTTTCTGCTGCCCTCAGTTTTCTTCCAGTGAGGGAAGGGTACAAATAACTAATTCTCAGTGTTATTTTATATATAACGATGTCAGAGATTTTATAAATTAGAAACTATTAATGAATAATTGCTAATTATACTCTGATCACAGAAATCAGAAATGTTTTCACTGTCAGTAAATAAGGGTTTACAGCACAGCAGGCATTCAAAGTACATAAACTATTCAAACCATAGATAACACTATGAGTTAAATACTAGTGCCCCACCTATGTTTGAAGAAACTAAAATTTAAATGCAATATCTTGAAAAGATCGGAAAACAGAGAGCCAAGATAGGATAGCATGTAACCACTACTGGTAACTGCCCTTAGAGTCTGACCAAGATGGACTCTAGTAATAGATTTAATAGCACACTTAATTTCAAATATTGCCAAAACTCAGATATAGGTCAATAACAAAGCTGAATATCACAAACTCACAGTCACAGTGTATCATCAACAAATAGATCTGTAATATTACACTGCCTTCTACAAATTTGTATCAGCCTAAGTAGAAAATTTTGTGAATTGTGTCCTTCATGAATTAGATTTATGAGTGCTACCCAACTACACTAATATCACAAAAAAAGTTCTCCCAACTCCTCCTTTATTATATTTATCATCTACATAGACATCTAATATGTTTGAAATACTTGAAGTTTAGGATCTTAATCTGACCTAAAGACTGTTACAAAAGCACACAGAGCCTCACACAGCAGGATAGTTATAGAAAAACAGGCATAATACAACATAAAAGCTACAAAAACTGTTGTTAAAAAAAATAAGAACTGAGGATCACAAAAACCCTCGGTATAAGGCTGTGCTTATACAATGAAAAAAAAACATGGAAAATAGGGTGAATGACTCCAAATCATATTTAGTAGAAATAAAAATTAAAGTGTTTAAATAGTAAAAAAAAAAAAATGGTTATTGAGGCTGGAGAGATGACTTAGCAGTTAAGAGAACTAGCTGCTTTTGCAAAGATCCTGGTTCAGTTCCCAGCACCCATGTGGTGGCTCACAACTATCTTTAACTCCAGTTTCTGGAGATCTAGTACCCTCTTCTGATCTCCATAGGCACCAGGCACACATGTAGTACATATATACATGAAGGCAAAACAATGAAATAAAAATAAGTCTTTTGAAAAATGGTTGTTATACTGTATTACTTAAGGGAAGCATAATAAATAAAAGTATACAAGTTCAGTACCAACATAGCTTTTAATATTTTCAACCACAGGTAGTTGAACTTGTGGAACTGGAACCCATGGGTATAAGAAACCTATACATTCCCATCAGTTTTTCTGTAAGCTTGAAAGTTTCCTTAAAAATGTTGATCTGTAAGTTTGTTAGCAGTTGATTCCAAAGAAATCATTTGGAATGTGAAGGAATGAGTTTCTCACAACACAACTTTAGCAGAAAGGGTGTTGTACCATTCTCTGGTGTGATCCACCAGTTTTCTGGTGCATGTGCTCAGAAATGGTTTAACCACACAATGGCTAAAACTAAGCTATAGCTGATTTATGTACAAAAGAGACTGGTAGTGATGACTGGTCTCTGTGTAGATGAGTGGTGTGTTGCTTCTAACCTCCTCCAACACCAGTCAAAGTGATACTGATTTCCTCCTTCAGTTCTGCAAGCATGGCCAGTGATTTTAGGAAACGGAGGAAGAGTGAACCTGCAGTGGGTCCACCCAGGGGCTTGGGCGATCAGAGTGCAAGCAGAACCAGCCCTGGTCAGGCAGACCTCCCAGGATCAAGCTCCACCCTTACCAAGTCTTTCATTAGTTCCTCTCCTTCCTCTCCCTCAAGAGCAAAAGGTGAGTAATGATAAATGAACACCGTTTGTTGATTCAAGTGGTAGCCTAGAGTACATGTGCAAGCCAGTCCAGGGTAGTGACAGTGACATGTGCTGGCTTTTACTTATGGTATCCTGGAGAAAATATAGCTTCCAAATAAAACTGTTGTTCTTAACTAGCTTGGCTTAAAGTGACAAGCCACTTCTATATCTTAAAGGACTGGGCTAGCATCTATTACTGCACCCCCCCATAGATTGTTTAGATTTGTTAGAAAACAAATTTAAAGTATTAATTGTCATATCCATAAAAATTACATTTATAGGCTTTTACATGTAGTCAAATGTGGGACCCCACAACCTCCTCCAGTCTCCAGGCATTGAAATAGAAGAGAGACAGTTTTTAAATATGTGAAGAAGATGAGTTGTAACCAAAGCCTCTGTGAGGTAGGGCAGAGTCGGGTACAAGCATCAATTGTAGACGCTAAAACTGTTTTCACACAATGGTTAAAACTTAGCTATAGCTGATTTATGTACAAAAGACAGTCTAGTTGTGATGACTGGTCTCTGTGTAGATGAGTGGTGTGTTGTTTCTAGCACCTAACTGGCTGTCAGAAGGTATGACCCCATTCATTACACCTTTTCTCATTCACAAACATGCCTTCATCAGATGGGACTCATCTACAAAAGAAAATATCCCAAGGTAACAAGTAGGTCATGAATAGCCATTAATTCAACATTCTAGAATAAGGTCCAAAATTTAAAAGCATTCTAATGAATTTAAGTGTTTGTTTTATCATAGGAAGTGTTAAACCAACTTCCTTTACCAAACATTACATAGCCACTTAATGTACTTATCTACTTTAGGAGACTTTGGGGAAAATTGTAATCATGATAGAGATATTTTCCTCCACTAAATTTTACTTCTAGGAAAAAAATGTCTTCTTA